CTTCCTACGTTGAGGATGTTCGCGCCGTTCAGGACATTCTAATACCTATCCGATATTTGTATTTCTTCACGATCATTAAGCTGCCCAGGTTCTCGGCTCTGATACGAACCAAGGATTCAACAAAGCCGTTCGATTCCCAGTAACTTGAAGAGATAGCAAGGAAGGCAAAGCAGATACAACTAGTAGACCTTGAGTCCTGAGGAGCCGCGCAGCCAGAAGCAAAGTTTCGGGCAATCACTGTCTCTGGCGATGGATGAAGATAAGGTCCAGGACTCCAAGCCAGGATCATGACCATTGACATGAAATGAGCGGAAGAAAATGGTTTGGGTCACGTGCACATTTCATGGAATTACTCAACCACGATTCTGTGCGTTTTCTGTCCGAGCTTGTTTAGTTTCACTCAGATATCACCAGTTCCTGAAACGGTTGACCGCGCTTTTTGAATCCTCGAAAGAACACGGCTCGATATGGTTTACGCATAAACGACGTATGCGCGGAGTCCAGCCTTTCTGTCTCGAGATCCTGAAGATTTTCTAGTCGTTCACGATGGCGAGGACGTGGCGATGGCGCAGGCGGACCCCGCAGACGATACACGCGAGTATCCGTGTCTCGTTCGCGTAACGGACGGCGGCGCAGTCAAGTTTTCCACACACGTCTGTGCACAACGGAGTCTCGCCGGCCCTGACTGACTCTTTCCATCAATCTAGGTCAGCTCGAGCGAGCTTGAAAAATTCCACGCCGCCTATGGTGCGCTTTTGAAAGCGTCCATGACTACGTTGCGCAAACGCGACAAAAAGCGCGAGAAGCAGCGCACCGAGCAAGCCGCGCGCCGGAAGAAGAAGATGACGGACCCCGTCGTGGTTGACGGCCCAAAGCGCGGGAACGGTCGCAGGAAGCGCCAGCGCCAACTCAAGGCCCAGGCAAAGCAGCACGATTCGCAGCGCAAGGCAAAGGAGCGCGAGGAGGCGAGCGCTACGAAATCAGCGAGTACATCGTAGTGAGGCCATCCACTCTTTTTCTCTTTTTGCTGTATCATGTATGCTACTACTGTCCGATAATTTATCTGCAGAGATTCTTTTTTTTTTGCGAGCTCCTGTCTCGTCGGTCTTTTCAGCGGAGTCCAGTCACAAGGACATGGAATGTCTTTTTCGACGCGTGTGCCTGCCCGTTCCATAGCCTTTTAATTCCCTGACAAGTCTTCCGGGGCTCCAAACGCCGGCGCGCCTGGATAAGCGCTTGTTTCGAGTGTAATATCGTTGCACTGTTGCAGGTCCAGGGCCTTCGCGGTGGGTAAACGCTCTCGGCGTTGATATCACATCAAGTGGATGTATCCTAGCACTCCGCCGAACCCAAACCGCATTGGATCGGAATTTGAAGCAAGTCTACGAAACTTGTGTTCCAGCACCCGCACGGACCTCGAAGCTCGAAACACTGGCTAAGAGAATGACAAGGCAAAAGATTGGCGCTTAATTGTCAGGTCTAGGGCCTTCGCTGCGGTAAGCGCCTCATGTTTTCAGCCGTGGTTTCAAATGGCAGACTTTGAACCTATCCGATTATGAACCCTATCTGATTATTCGCTTGCACCTTTATAAAAACTCTGCAGTCAAGCAACGAAAGCCAGTTTTCTCAGCATCCTACAACCCACCCTCTTTTATAAACCCGCTTTTCAAATGGCCCGCTTCGCTGCTCTCTTCTTTGCTGCCGTGGCCGCCGTCACCTCAGTCGGTGCTGCCTCCGTATGTCCTTTCGTTTCCCTGTTCGTTCTGAGCTCACAATCGCCCAAGCACCGCGCCCTTGCCAACCGTGCCGTCATCCCCGCCAAAGCCGGCGCCACCGTCCCTTTGATCACCTTCTACACCGACGGTACGCATCCAGCCGCGCCCTAAGACGCCAATCCTAACCCCCGTCTGCTAGTCAACTATGCCGGCGAATGTGCGCCCCACCAGCTGCCTTGCTCACTCTTAATCATTCTCCTTTGCAGCTGTCACGTTCGAGGCCGAGAAGACCACGGGATGCATTGGGGCCACGGGCGCATACATCAGCTCTGTGTCCAGCATCAAGCTCCAACAGTCCGGTATCGCCTGCAACTTGTGGAGGTGCGTCTTCAGCAAAGTACCGGGTACTGTGCGCTCACACACCGCCCACAGCGAGGCGAACTGCGGAGGCGTCGCGGGGCTCGTTGTGAGTCCGCCCACGGTTTCTTTTGGCTCTTGTTGACGGCCTTTACTTAGGCCGCGGCCGACGTCCCAAACTTGATCACCTACGGGTTCAACGACAAGGTATGTGTGTCATTGTTGGTTATGATCCTCATGTTGACCCGCGGTCAGATGGTGTCCTACAACTGCTACAGCACCGCCTGAGCATCCTTAGTCTTACCCACAGACCTCCCTGTCTACTGCCTGTCGCTTAAATAAATTTACTCGTCAAGGAACTCAGTTTGCCTCCCAGTCTCTGACTTGTACACATCTGGTTCCGTGATTAGTGACTGGTTCCCGTTATGGCCAATCTACTGCCTTTTCGGGCTTTCCACGTGCTGTCTTGCTCATGAGCACGAAAATTTTAGTCAGTGCCGTGCAACTTGTTCCCCTCCTTCGATGTCGCAAGGCCAAGGACCTGTAGCATTTCCCTCACCCCAAGGCGGCGCATCGCTTGTCCTCTCGTTTCGACTACGCAATCGAAGGACTTTAATTCTCGGTTCTGGCTTCCTCGCTGCTTCGCGCGCATTCTCAGCGCTCGAGGCAGATTCTGAGGTCACTGTCATCGCCAAGGGGGGCATTTTATCTGCATGTGAAGAGCTGCAGTGGCGGGCGCAGCAGCATCAACTCGTCGTCCTCGATTGGGATGCGCTTCCTCGATCGAGCACGAGCGAAGAGGACGCCAGCCTTGACTGTTATCTGGCTACTACCAACGAGATTTCTTTCGTCTGCATAACGGACACCATGCTGGGCGACCCCCGCCGGCGAAGTCGCGCTTCGGCCGAGCGGATATACCGCGTCTGCAGAGCGCGCAATATCCCTGTCAATACGACGGATATGTCGGATCTCTGCGATTTTTCATTCACATCTACCCATCGGTTCGAAGACCCTGCATCTGGTGCGAGGACGGCGCTGCAGATTGGCGTCACGACCAACGGGCAGGGATGCCGCTTGGCCAGCCGCGTGAAGCGCGACATCGTCAGCAGCCTGCCGAAAGAGGTCGGCACAGCGGTGGACAAGGTTGGCGCCATGCGCGGCCTCGCGAAGCCCGGGGCCGATGAATCGTCTGAGGAAAGCGGCGTGGCGACGCCGAACCGCCCGGTGCCCTCGCGTAGTCCAATCGAAACGGAAGCAGAGGGAGCGATCCGGCGGATGAAGTGGGTTGCCCAGGTCAGTGAATATTGGCCGCTCTCCCGCCTCGCAGCGATGACGGAGGAGGAGATGTACGAGGTCCTCGCGGGCGAGTATTCTGCAGCGCCGTCTGTATTCCCGCCCTCCTTGCACTCCCTAGATGCGCCTCGGAAAGGGCGGATTCTCCTTGTAGGCTCAGGCCCGGGCCACCCCTCTTTGCTCACCCTCGCGACGCACACGGCCCTAACGCAGCTCGCCGACCTCGTGCTCTCCGACAAGCTTGTGCCCGCTGCGGTCCTCGCCCTCATCCCGCCGACCGTGCAGGTCCGCATCGCCAAAAAGTTCCCCGGGAACGCGGAAGGCGCGCAAAACGAGATGATGGAGGCCGCGGTCGAGGCGGCCACGCGCGGACTGACGGTGGTCAGGGTAAGCCTCTCTCCGCCCCCTCATCCTCATTCTCACGCTTTTCTGCAGCTAAAACAAGGCGACCCTGTCGTCTACGGCCGCGCGGGCGAGGAGGTGCTGTACTTCCGTGCGCACGGCTTCGAGCCCGTCATCGTCCCCGGCGTTAGCTCCGCCCTTGCGGGGCCGACGTTCGCCGGGATCCCCGTGACGCAGCGTGGTGTCGCCGAGTCGCTCGTCGTCTGCACCGGCGTGGGGCGCCAGGGGAAGGACGTGCAATTGCCCGGGTACGAACGCCCGCGTACGCTCGTTGTGCTTATGGGCGTCGCGCGTCTACCACATATCGTCGCGGCGCTACTCGACCCCGCGGAGTCTGCGTCGGGGCGTCGCGGCGGGGAGGCGTACCCGCCGCACACGCCGGTCGCGATCGTAGAGAGGGCGTCGATGCCGGATCAAAGGGTTGTGGCGTCGACGTTGCGGGACGTCGTGAGGGCGTTGGAGAGTGTGGGGGAGCAACGGCCTCCGGGGATCTTGGTTATTGGGTGGGCAGTGCTTGCGTTGTGGGAGACCGGGGATGTCGAGGTTCTTGGGGATGGGGCTGAGAAGGACGACGACTCACGAGTGGTGCAGTGGTTGGGTAGGCATGTGGGCTGGCGAGTGAAGGACGGATTACCCGATGGTTGGGAGGCTTTCTGATATAGTTCATTTTCTCTTGCTTTCTATCATACCGTCTTGTACCCATGCTGTGGGGGCTGGGTACAATGATCTATACAACTCATTGATGAGAGACATGATCATCTCCAGGATTTCGACGGTCCAGGCTTTTTCAATTTTTTTGAAAAGTGTAATGCTTGATGATCAATGAAGACCCCCCCTCAAAACTATGGCTGGTGGGCCATGGCGGATCGTCAGGTTTCAGTAAGTTATCCATAATTAGTGGGCCCCGAGCGTAGTACAATTTGCGGGTACAGATATGACCGAAATTTGGAAAAGCGCTCCCTTTCACCGGGAGGGAGGTCCCTCAGCTCTGGTGTCCTTGGTGCGACTTTCGGACGGCGAGTGATAGAAGCAAGTCTGCGACGTTTTTAAGGATCTTCAATGGAATTGCAGAAAAAAGAAAGCAAAAGAAAAGCCTAATGGGGCGAGGCATTTGCCGACTGCTGAAGCGTACTCTCTCTACCGTCATCGTTCTACGAACGCGTAGTACTCTGGTGCACCCCGCGGCGCCCACGGGACCGGGATCGGCCGGCCTGGCGGACAACAGCCCAAGTGCACCTCCTTAGGGAATCGAACCCATGACCTCTCCAATTGCTTGAAGAGGAATTGTTGCAGCGGCTTAACCACTGAACCAAGGAGGCACAAGAAACATGTGGATTTGCCTTACTTTGTGGTGTAGGCGATGCTCAGGGAGAGTACGAGAGGTGGTCGTGAATTCGGGGCGGACAATCCCCGAGTGGTACAGTCCGACAAGACTCAAACCGGTTTCGAGGGCAGCGACGGAGAGCGACGGTATATGGTTTGCGCGACTTACTTTGTTGCTTATTGACACACGGGAGTGAGCGGAGTGGGAGAGCTGTAAACGCGTCTGAGTTCTGTCTCGCTTCCAAGTTCCCACTCACCGCGACAGACGTCGATACCTTGACGCCTACTTGGATTACCGCTTCGGGCCTCATATTTCTGATCCGTGGCGCAGATGGGGATATCAAACGCGTCGCGAAGGAGACCAAGAGGTGCTCGATCTCTGGATCACTGAATACATTCCCACGACCCCCCCCCCCCTCGTAATGATGGCTGATGGCACTCTCACTCACCACTCAACGCGTCCCGCCGTCTCGCTCACGTACCCGCCGTACCCGCTGCAATTATCTGTGCCATCTAGCACTCTAGCCTGCAACCAGAATGGAACCCCAGCAATGTATATGATGCTATAGGCCTTCAAATGATTTGATTCCTTTGATCCACCCATTTATTTCTTCTACTTGGGCTGTACATACCTACATACCTACTTACATATTTCAAGGAAAAATGAGATATCCGCGGAAACTGGGAACTCGAGCCAAGGGACACGTCATGTACTGTGCCCAAAGATGCTCTACATATATTAAACACGGTTGGACAATGGTTCACGGCCAATGGTGAATCATTGCGCTGGTAAACGCTGTCGAGGGTTACCAGACTGCAGAGTAAGCGCTACAACTTGAAGGAGGACGAAGAATCGACGCAATTGAAGACTCCGAAAGAGTGGTGAGCTGGCAATGAGGCAGTGTTCCCGGTGATCCGATGTGTCAATCAGTGATCTGGCGTGGCCAGATCATATTCAGAGATCCAGAGATCGAGCACCTCTTGAAGGAGACGGTGCGAAAGCAATGTGTACACGTGACACGAGCTCACGGTTCCCAATCTCAACCCAATCTCTCCCTTCACCGTTTGAAGTTCACGCCGCGATACCCACCGCGATACCCAACTAGGATGGCTACTCGAGAGAAGTTCATCCTCGACGCTGTGCTCTCTACTATCCGCCTTCACCGATACCAGGTCAAAACGCCGTTGGTGAGGCCCAAGACTTGGGCAATGGCGGTCGCGGAGTCCAACGATGTGCGGGAGGGGCTTCGTATCACTGGCAGAGGTTCTATTCGCCTCCTTCTACTACGAGGCCTTTTTTTTTTTTTCTTGAGCGTTTGGGATAATGACATTCAGTCTGCAGTACTACGAGGCCTTTTCTCTGACTCTTTTGCGTCTGAAAGCGGCAATGAGATACGCATTTATGCGTGCATTCCGCGATGCCAAGGGATTGGAGAGCGGCTGCCGTATGCCTTCATCTAGGATGAATATATCTCTAATGCACATCTGCAGACCCTGTTCTCCCTCCGGTTCTCAGTCCTGCGCGATGCTTGGCCGCATCTCTGGCGAAAGATCTATTTGTCTAATTCCCTGCTTCTGGACCTATGTACTCTTAAGTCCCCTCCGCCCGTTTCGCCAACGTAATACATCAACAGCCCTACACTCTTCTTTGGCAAATCCTGTCCTTCGTCACCCAGAACTGATTCTGTTCTTTTCCCTCTGAAAGATTTCCGACTGGGTATGTACTCAAACACACCCTACATGTACCATGTTCGTACCACCTAGCCCAAATGATTTTTATTTGTTGGCAGCATGAGTTAAGACGACGTACACTCGGCAAGATAAAGCTACGAGATCTCAATGAGCTCGCTGCACAAGACCGGGATTGCGCCATGGTATACGACGGGGTGAGCGACGCCGGGCAGCGCCACCATGAAGTTTGCGAAGGCGCTTCAAAGTTGTCGTCCCCCGTAACCACCGGCACTCATGGCGAGGGCAGCAGCAAGAACGGCATCCTCGACCTGCTCTTGCGTCTCTTCGCCCTCGGTCGCGTCCAAAGATGATCTTGACGAGCCCTCCACTTAGAAAGAGCCGGCGAGGGTGTGTCGAAGAGTTTGCTCAGCACCAGCAGCGTTATCGTCGGGTCCTGCGTGGCCTTGAACTTTGAAGCGGTTGAGTATCTCGAGGTGGGACGATAGTGACAGCAGGGAGATCTAGTCAAAGGTGGCCAGGGCCGTGGTTTCGTCTTCCTGCTCGTCCGGTATCTTCATGTTCAAGTCTCGAGGAGATGGCGATGGCCATGGGCTTGCCCTCCTCTACGAAACGGTACTTTAGTGATTTGTCGGTGTTTCGGAGAGGACAGGCGTCGCGAAGGGCTTACCGAGGCGTTTCGCTGGAAGCGTGGAACGGAGAGAATACGAGGTGGTGCGGGGCTTGGTAGAGGCGGCGGCGGCGGCGGCTCGTCTTCAGAATTTGATTTTGGGGCTGCGTGTTCAAGTTTCTTTCCGTTCGTCGAGAGAAGCGAGATTTTCGAAAAGGGAAGGTTGCGGACTTGCGGTCCGACGATTCCGCTTCAACACGGTAACGTGCGTGACCGTGTTGTGTTGTTGATTTGGTTGATTTCTCCCTTTCCACCATGTCCACAACTGATCTCGGCAACATTATCCTCGCGTATGATGACCAAAAAATTCAGCCTCACCAAGCTGAGTAAGCTGCCGACTGTCAAGAACGAGCGCGGCGCCGTAGGACCCCGGATTATGCCACCAAATGCCTGATCCCAATCCCGACAAATTTGGGGAAATTTTCGTGTTACCCCTGTGTCAAATCCCGACAAATTTGCCCAAAATTGGGCGTAGGCCTGTGGCAAATCCCGACAAAAACGATGCGCGGTGGGCGGAAATTTTTTCGAAATCAACCATCTGAGGTCAATCTGGGGCAAAAATTTAGAGAATCCGACAAATTTGACCGATTTTGGGGTCTAGGCCTGTGCCAATCCCGACAAATTGGGCCCAAATCAACCAATTTCCGTCCCGACAAATGGGCCTCCGTGGGAACAGGCATTTGGTGGCATAATCCGGGGTCCTGGCGCCGTCACGTTTCTCACTCAATTCAAAACATACGCCAAGACCGACGTCCAAATCCAAACCAACCCAAACGGCAAAGTTTCTGGGACATGGTTTGTGTTCTGGGGTCGCGTAGTTTCGCAGCTGACCTTCATCTAGGGTTCCTTTGAAATACCTTGAAATGTGCTGCAAAGCCTTGGGCATCGATCCCGAACCCATCTTTGAAGACGTGCGGAGCGTTCGCGTGCTCCCGCCACAAATAGCATACCAACCTCTCCCCATGCAAGCCATTGTCCTCAACATGCCTCGACATCAGGCGCCTCAGCCTCCTGTGGCCCACGTTGATGACCGCCAGAAAGTCATGAAAGAAAGAGAGGCACGGAAGCGGCGGGAGGAGGATGCGCGCCGCGCGATGAAGAAGGAGAGGAAGATGGAGGAGGCACGCGCAATGAAGGAGGCGTGGAGGAAGCTGGAGAAGGCGACGAGGGGGCTGGAGGAGGCACGCGCGACGAAAAAGGAGGTGGGGAGGAAGCTGGAGGAGGCGACGAGGGGGCTGGAGGAGGCGCGCGCGACGAAGAAGGAGGCGGGGAGGAAACTGGAGGAGGCGACGAGGAAACTGGATGAGGCGACGAGGGGGCTGGAGGAGGCGCGCCGCGAGATGGAGGAGGAGAGGAAGCTGAAGGAGGTACGCGCGGTGAAGGAGGAGGCGACGAGGAAACTGGAGGAGGCGACGAGGGGGCTAGAGGAGGCGCGCCGCGCGATGAAGAAGAAGAGGAAGCTGGAGGAGGCACGCGCAATGAAGGAGGCGTGGAGGGAGCTGGCGGAGCAATAAAAGCGGCGCGACGGGCACGGCACCGAGTGAGGCCGTTGTTTCTGACGGACCGGGAATTTTTTTTTGAAATCTCAAGTCGACACGAGACAATTTTCTCTAGATGCTTGAAAAGTTGAATGGCCACTACTCCTCTAACCAGTTGGAATTACAATCGAACTCAACAGACACCGACGATAAGCAGTAATATGCGCGCACCGCTACAGGCGGTGTCCAGGCCGATCGGCGATGACCATGGAGAGCTTGACGACCAGACAACGTCGTCCTTCAGCTCTTCTCCCTTCGCATTCGTCCTCGCAAGCTGCCGAATAATAATTGAAGAAACCATGTAAGTAGTATGCGTAGTGTCTATGTGCGTGGTATGGTAGTACAACAGGCTACAGCGGAACTATCCCCAGGGATTTGCATTGAACGAAGAGCTTTTCTTCTTACCCAGGTCGCTCGGAATAGTCCATGGGTCTGCCGCAGGCGAAAACCCACTCGTGATAGAGCCATCCGCACCGCCAAACGAAAGCCCCGTGTCCGCCGATGCGAAAGGGCTCCCGAACGACAGCACGTCGCGCGGTGGGTCCTGCTCGGCCGCCGACCAGACCGAGCCTGAACTGTCCCCAAACGATAGGGAACCTGGGGATACGTATGCTGGCGGTTTTCGTGGGGGCAGCGGCGCCTCCTCTGCATCAGAGTCAGAGTCGTGAATGTCGTTGACGGACATCGACCGTGCAAAGGCGCTGGTCAAGTCGGTCCGCGGTGGAGATGGAGGCTCAAGGGGAGGCCGGTCAGTTTCCGCTGGTGGGGTTTGTTGCTGGGGAGGCGCGGATTCTGAACGGTTTGTGGGGGGTGGAATGGCCGGAGCCTCGAACCGATTATCCTCCGGGATTTTGAGTTCCTCGGGATTGAGCTCAGCCTTGCCTAGGACATCCTTCATCGCGTTGAAGTCGAATCCAGCATGTATTGGTATCTTGCTGCCGGCGTCGTCTTTGGCGGGAGAAGTTGGAACAGAAGCTCCGGCGCCGACCGGAGTACCCACTCGCGGAGGGAGATCGTCGTCTTCGGGGACGACGCTTGACGGGCGAGCATGTTTGGAGAAAGTACCTGTAGTTGGGGGACGAGACACGGATTGGGGACG